ACGTACTGTTTGTTTTGGGGAGGGTTAGGGGAGGAGGCGCGGTGTTGTTCCGTTGCTTCCAATCGGCAGCATCTGGGCGTTTGCCCCGTGGCTGCGCTTTTCATGGTGGTAATTTTGTGAGGGAGAACCGGCGTTGCTTGAAGGAGACTGGTGGGTAGCTTAGAGGTACAGCTGGTTCTTAACCTGAAGGCTTGACGTGTTGATGAACGTAGACTTTGAGCCGCATGAAGACTTGGAGATTATTGGCATCCCTTGCCTAACCTGTGCTACCAAGCATCTGTATGATCGGACTGTGGAGCCAGATTCTGGCTTGGGGTGCAGCAGGGTGTCTTTAAACACTGTGTGTGTGTCGGGCGTTGGGAGTGGGATGCCTTCTTCAGCTCTGTGAAGGTCAGTTCCTGTGCTGGGGGCTAGCAGGTGAACTGCAGCTATGGCAGAAGATCCTCATTTGCACAGACATGTCTGTCTTAAATATTATTGTCCCCATTGCTGGGGTCAGACACAGCACGTGGTGCCTAAAACCCAGATCTAAGGGGTAGAGGTCGAGATTTCCCCCAAAAGGATGCTAATTATGAAGGTTATGCTGCAGATCCTTAAACCTGTTGTATCTTACCAAAAGTAATTTTCCTGATTTTTTCCTTTTTAGGTAACCAGTCAGTCCTTTACATAGTCTGTTGAAAGATTGACTGAGTTCAAAACCAGTGGGTTTTGGTGAAAGTTTTGTTTGTTTGTTTGCTTTATCTTCCTGTCCCTTTCACTTCCATCTTACTTCTAAAAGAAAATATTTCTACTCCAGTGTGGATATAGCTGAAAATTTTAACTGTTTTTAAAACGCTGTTTTATCTTATTATTTCAGCATCTTCGCCAAATCTCCCAGAGGACCATAAGCACTGCTTCACGCAGGCAGTTTGAAAATAGAGTTGCTGAGAAGCAGAAGCTTTTTCAGGTATTGAGTGAGCACTGATAGTAGAATAATGTTAGTGGAATGACTGGGTTTTAGTAGATTGTAATTGCATACATTTTGTTTCTAAACAACTGGTGAAACTTCTCTACATGTGAGATGACCTCTTGAAATCAGTTGTATGACTACAGTGTTTAAAATCACCAGTTATTTTCTACAGAGATTAAGAGTATTTGTGCATGCATGCTTGACTTGCTGACTGTTTCGGGTTTTTTGCCCTGTGAAACGATTTGTGCAAGAGTTTCTGACGAGTTTTAGGTACTGTACAAAGACAAAGTACTCTGAAATGGGATGAGATGGGGGGATATGTGCTAAGAAAAAATAGAGAAAAACAGGAAGTGAGAGGACAGAAGTACAGTGAAAAGTTAAACCTGCAGTCTTACAGCTATATCCGTAGCTCATAGATGAGCCCCATAATTCTTAATGAGGATGTGGTATTTTTGTAATTCTCAGTTATGAAAACAGTAAGGGTTTTCGTAGGGAACAAGGGATTGGATTGACTCCCAGAAAGTTATCGAATCTTTAAAAATAGTTTCTGAATTAATCTCTTCCTGATTGAGAGGGCCACCTAGTGATAACTAGTGGTTCTTCAAATGCCAAAGCAGTGGATACTCAGGAGCGTGCTCCCAGCTGTGAGCCATAACCTGGAGCAGTAGCTTCATACTGAGGATAGAATAGACTGGGCTTCAGCCATGTGAAAAGGAAAAAGTACGTTAGAAGCCCCCAGTTTAATAGTTTTTGCATCTTGTTGCTTTCCTTTCAACTGAAAGAGAAAGTTAGGCTTGTTACGACCCCGCCTAAGGAGCACAGGGTTCACTGCGAGCCAAGGGGAAGCAGGACGCTGGTGACGGGTGAGGCCGGAGGTGCTGCTGCTGCTGGCGGAGATCTCTAGGCATTTCCCTCCCTCCTGGCATTCCTTTCTTGTGGGGCAGCAAGTTGAGCTGGGCTGGGTTGCAGGTCACCAGCACTGGAGGCCGCCTTGAGTTCCAGAGCAGTATGAACTCCCTGACAAGGGTAAAGATCATGTGGATCTGGTGTCTTAAGAGTTTTACTTCGGGTGGAGCAAAACAATTTCCTGTATGGCAGTGGGTGATGGTAGAGGCTCCTCCCCATGCCGCTCCCCACAGCGGCTCCTCCCCATGCCGCTCCCCGCAGCGGGGGTTGACTGTGCTGGAGACGGACGGGAAGTTTCTATGGATGGTAATCGTATCCTGTGCACCCGAGGGGGCTGGTGACTGGTGTCGGAAGTGTTTAGGCACCTGCCAATCACTGCTTTAGAAATGAATGTGCGCATCGTTTACTAGACTTCCCTAGTAAATGATCACCTGATACTGGAGTGAAAGCTTCAAAGACAGGGCAGAAGCTAAAGAAGTTTCAGTGTCTGTCTGGAGTTGGGAAGATAATTTGAGGACGTACTTGTTGTTCTGGGTATTTCTAGTTGTATTAACACACTATTGCAAGAACTGTGTTTAAATATTTTCTTTCTGTCACGTGTTTCCATTAGGAGGATAATGGCATCCCAGTGCATCTTAAAGGTGGTGTAATGGATTCTCTGCTGTATAAAGTCACCATGGGTCTTACAGTTTTTGGTAAGGCTAATACTAAAATATTTATGCTTTGGTAGAATTTCCATTGTGCTAATACTAAAATACTTTCTCTTTGGTACAACCTGCATTGTGACTGGCATTTCCTCTGCAAATTAGTTACGCAGTTCCTTCAGTGTGTTCTTTAAAACAATCATAGATGCATGTAGACAGGGAAAAAAAGCCATTTGGACATACTATATATTTAGTTGTGCTTTCTCAAGTTTAGCTTTTCAGATGGCTTTTTTTCCCCTGACTATTAACACTATAGGTTGAATACTCCTTCAGAATTCACGTATGTGGTTCTAGCTTTGTCTGACTACTTAGAAAGCCTATTCTGAAAAGAAGTGAGATGTAATTATAGCACATACATATACCAGTTTTCTCACTAGCCTGATTCTTTTTAGTGCTAGGTGAAACTTGGTGTGCTGAGGTTTCACATGCTGTGCAAACTAACAGAAAATATCCCAGCTTTATGATACTATCTATATTTAACCTTTATGTTGCTTGTTAATGGTTTTGTAATAGCTTTTAACTTAACTATGTTGATCTAATGGATTTTCAGTTCAGTTGCTTTAAGAATGAGTAACCATTACTTTACGATCGTCTGTGTAAGTTCCACAAATATGCCCCTCTCCCTTTTTTTTTTTCCTGTTTCTTTATTTTTATGCAGTCTTTGGAGAGCTATTTAAGGATTTTTTTCCTCTAAAACACAAATTGCAAAAACAAAAAATTGTTGGGATGTGACTGTGGAAATGTGTTGTGTCTGAATTGCAGCTGCTTATTGTCTATATTTCTTCTGGAACAAGCTGGGAGAGGAAAGCTGACTTGAAAGAAATTCTGTTCACCATTCTGAAAATGTCTTTTCTGTCTCTTAATTCAGGAACAGCCTATGTTATTTACGAGCTTCTTGTTGCTTCAATGCCCAAGAAGCAGAAATGATTCCGGTTCAGGAAGCCTCAGTGACTAGCATCTCTTCATCCAATTCCATGTGACCATGATGGCAGCTTATACTTATGAGCAGCTGGCTTAATGCTTGGGATCATAATTTAATTGTAACATGTTAACTGCAATCAATAAAGCAGTTCTTGTGTTGTGGTGGTCTGGGCTGTATCATGTGTTCTACATTAGAGTGCTTTTTACTTCCAGCAAGAGTTCGTTGAGTTGATCAATATGCAGGTCTTTGAATCGTGAGCCTCTTTTCTTTGTATCTGGTTTATGTTAGTACTTTGAAGGTGAGTTGAGTGGCCTGAATCCTTATGAGAAAGTGATACCTTGTATTTATTATCGTAATTTCCCTGTCTTGCTTTAGTGGAGCAAGTTAATCTAATAAATCTAATTAATCGAATAAATGATTAGGAGTAGATTAAACCTGTGTGGAAATGAATGTTGAGGACTTGATTGTGTTGTAGCTTTGTGTCAGCTGCTGGAAGTTGACTCTAATACATCTAGAAAAAGAGGGATCTGATTCCTGATCATCATCTAGAGGTGACAGTTTTTACTATGTAGAGGTGATAACACTGTTCTCTGCAGCTTAGAAGCAGTCTCTGTTGTACTCGGCACCTTCATCTAACAGATTTTTTTCAGTGGCTTTTTTCTACTACAGCTTAATGGAACATCATATTTCCAGCAAAGAATGAAGACTTTCGATTAGTAAATGACTGTGTATTTATTTTGCTGCCCATGAAATCAACATATATATGTCAGTCGTGATTAAGGCTTGGTAATCTTCCAGCATTGCCTCAGGTTTCAGGTGACTGAAGCCAGCTTGTTCTCGGCTACTAGGGTAAGTAAAGCAATCACCTCTGGTATCAAAGAAGAAATAAAAAACAAAAGTTGATTAGAGAATTTGAAGGTGTTCTAGAGCAAATAGTTAGGTGGAGGAGGGGCATAAGTGTTAATACTAGCTGTAGTAGTGCAGTACTAGACTTTCTCTACTGTTTGAAAAGGTTTATAGTGACTTAAGTAGATACTCTGACAGTTGACTGCTAATTTGATCTAAGCTAAACAGGACACTTAAGCCAGAAAAACTGAAGATATTAAAGGAGGTGCTTATAAAAGCTTCAAATTCCTAATTTTTGTCAGTTGTTAATGCTCTTTTTGAAGAATTTCCCCAGAGCTCTCTGTAGCTTTGAGGACAGGCTTGGAGAGACTGCTTTTTGTCTCTACAAATTGTCCTCTTCTGTAGTTTAAGAATAGCGCTGCCCCATGTCGGTAGGGTAGGAGCAGATCTAGTTCGTAAGTACACACCGGGCTAAGTGAATTAGGTTTCAAACAAAGGTAGCATAATGCAGGTTGGGAGGGACCCCTGAAGGTCAGTTGGTCCGGTCTTCTGCTCAGAGCAGGGCTGCTGGGTTGCCTGGGTCCCTGAACAGTTGCATGGGGAGCATCTCCAGGGACTGAGATCCTACAGCCTCTGCACAACCTGCTCCAGGGTTTCACTGTCCTTTTTTTGAGGAGTGTCTTTCCTTTTCTGGGATACAGGAATACCTGTGTCTGAAGGATGGTTGTTAGCATTCCTGTAACACAGCTCTAAAGAAAGCCGTGATTGCATTTGTCTACTTCCGCCTAGGTGACCGCGAGCCTTACGAACTTGAAAGGGAAAGCAGTTATCTTGCAATGTCTTAATGTTAAGACCTCCCACAGAAAATGAGGCAAAAGCTGTAGGCGTGGCTGAGCTTTAGGTTGCTGCTGCTGCTTCATGTCAGGCTGTCAGTAGCTGCTCAGTCAGCACTATGGTTTCTGGGAGAGCAGTCAGCTCTGCTCTGATGTCATTTCTACGTGGTCACTCTGAACTTCCTGGCAGCAATTTGAACTGTGTGCCTTCAGCTAGGTTATGTGCCTTAACCATAACATGGATGAGGAGTGCTCGCCTGCTCTGTCCCACCAGCAGAACTGTGTGACAGCTCTCTGCGTGTGTAGAGGCACAGCAAATGGCTGATAATAGTTTGATCATGATCCTTTCCGAAGTTATCCTCTTTCAGTGGCTGAGGTGGTGTTTGTCAGCTTGCCGTGACACTGACAACCACAAACGCAGCTGGAGATCCACCATTGTCTTGGGGGGAGACAAATGTGATTGCGGTTTAGAATTGGGCAAGGATAACCAGTAATAACTGTTAGCTGCTATCATGTAGTCAGGAACAAGCCTTATATCTGAAGTAGCTAGTGCTGTCAGTGAGAATGCCTGCTCTGGGAAAACTGCTACTAGGAAGCATCTTTAAGTTGGTGAGTATGAAAACTGCTGGTAAGCTACCCTCATGCCTCTTACTAGTGTGACTTGCGATTACTGGGGAACAACATCTTTGGGAACCAGTGGTAGCTGTGCATCCCTAGCGAGGTTTTATTTGCCTAACACAATTTGTGCCTTTGTAGCCTTCCTGTCAAGTTGCGGCTTGTGGTTCATTATGCTGAAAGTCTGGCGTTGGCTCTGTGACAAAGAGAGCTTTCAAAATAACTCCAGTTCTATCAAAATAATCCTTTTGTTTCTGTCCTCAAGGAAACAGTGGGTTTTACAAAATGTGAAAATGAGCACAAAAATGTAGCTTCCCATTATAGAACTATTTTAAGCCTCTTGTGGATTAAGTTGGTTCAGAATTTTTCATTGCTGTCCTGGAGATCCAGAGTATGCTTGTTAAATTGGAAGAGAAGGGCCAGTGTGCTCTGAACTCTCTAGTAGAACCAAAAATCTTAAAAAAGGAGAGTGAGGGAATACCCCTCAATGGCAGTCTCTCTGCATAGGTGGGTTTGGCCAACTGCATGACTAAGAACCAACTGCCTGGATGGATGTCTCAGAAGAAGGTTTGGGAAATGAGGTGCAGCTTGTCAGGAGATGAACGCTGATGCGTGTGAGGAAGAGAAACCTGACAGCCCAGTGAACTATGCTTCGCAGCAGGTGAAGGAGTCGGTCTGCTCTCTGTGACGCTGGTAAGGCTTCTGCCGCTGCCATGTGCCCGGCGTTACTGCCAAGATGTGGACCAAGTGGTGAACCTCT